TAATTTTGCATTTTTATTAAACATTTTTATTATATATTTAAGTATGTATTTAATAATTAAATAATTTATGTATTTAATATATTAAGGTAATAATTTATGCATTTAATAATTTACAAAGCATTTCGCATAGAATAATAATTTTTAAAAAACATAACATAAATATATTTTTCTTTTTAAATTTTAGTTTTTTGAGCTTAGATTTTTTCTTTTCCTTTAAGATTTTGTTTTTGTTAGATAAATCATCTTACAAATTGTGTGGTCAAGTTGTAAAAATAAAATATTTTATGCGTGGTCAGGAATGGCGTTTGCTCAAACGTCTTTAATTTTTATTAGATATGTTCGGCAAACTAAAGTCTTTATCAGACAAATTGTCAGGTACAAAAAAGTTTGTTATTTGGAGCCCTGTGTGTATATATATATATATATATATATATATATATATATATATATATATATATATATATATATATATATATATATATATATATATATATATATATATATATATATATATATATTTATTTATATATATATATATATATATATATATATATATATATATATATATATATATATATATATATATATATATATATATATATATATATATATATATATATATATATATATATATGTATGTATATATATAAATATATATATGTATGTATATATATAAAAAAATTGGATGCTTTCAGATGGAATTGCCCTTTTATATAAATGCACATATATATATATATATATATATATATATATATATATATATATATATATATATATATATATATACAAATATTATTGCATACTTTGGTAAGCAATCTGACGTCATACTGAAACAGCCGGCTGCTGGGGGCTTCAGTACATACAACGACTGACAAATAGCCTGATTCGCAGTGGAGTGCTGCTACATCGACTGAGGGTTTGGTATGGGGAAGCAATCGTTTTATTTATCATTCTTCGTTTTTTTCTTCTTCTTTTTCAAAAAAAACGGTTTACCTTAAAGTAAGCACAAAAAGTGAGCAAATTCTTATCAAAACACGCTTTAGTAAGTGTATATATATATATATATATGTATATATATATATATATATATATATATATATATGTATATATATATATATATATATATATATATATATATATATATATATATATATATATATATATATATATATATCATATATATATATATATATATATATATATATATATATATATATATATATATATATATATATATATATATATATATATATATATATATATATATATATATGTGCATATATGTAAAATTTTATTTGCTTTAACTTTTGCTGATTATAAGTCAAACAAAATGTTTAGAGCTTCTGGACACCAGAGACCAGGAAAAAATAGAGATACAAAGCCGGAGTTCTTTTGGGAATCCATATCCCTGATTTAACTTGTTGTGAACAAAGAAACTGTATCTCAAAACTAAAAACAAAAATGATTTTTATTTCTTATTTTCTAATTTCTGAAACCATTCAGGTCATAAAAAGTAAAAAATATAAACTCACTTATAGAAATGAGATTTAAAATTCCTACCCTCCTGTTTACTAATACTCTTTCCTTCCCCTCCCTCTTCCTTTCCTATCTCTCCTCATTTATTACATATGAACAAAAACTTGATTTGTCTATTAAATAAAAGAGTTTATTAGGCTAAATTTTGTTTGATTATGTGACCAGTATGTTTTATAATCATTTCTCTTCCTTTATTTTCATTACTTCCTCCAAATCCAATTGAAAGCGCAAAATTAGAAACATCAACTCATGAATTACCAATAACACTTATCACTATTGAAGTACGTTGCCTAACTGGAAGTCCCTTGCCTATAACTGGAAGTCCCTTGCCTATTGCTATGAGAACTTTAAAATATTTCTTTAAAATAATTTTAAGTAAAAAAAACAAAGGTAGATTGTTTATATCTGTTATCATATTTTAATGATTATTTCATACAGGCTATGAATTAGGTTTTAGGCTCAATTTCATAAACTATTAAATGCCAAATTAAATAAAATAATAAATGCTCTATCATTTAAAACATGTTGTGGTATGTATAATATAGAAAGTGATAAAATAATAAAATGCAAAAATTTATAGTAAACAACTTTACTAAATATTGATGTTTTTTACCAATAGCTGTCTCATCCAAATGTTGGCCACTGGTCAATAAAAAAGCGAATGTTTATTATTCATAACAATTAACTTAGTAAAACTTGTTTAGTTTAGTAATAAAAATTTAATAAAACTCTTAGAAACTTTATATAAAAAAGTCAGATGATTCTAAATTTCCTCATTAAATTTATCTACTAATGATATACATTTGAAAATGTTTTTTATTTCTGTTTTAGGAAAGACCAGAGTTGTTAGTCCTTGGCTTTTGCATCAGCCTTGCCTTAAGGACAAAAATTTGAGCCTTGGCCTTGGTCTTGAAACTGTTGGCTTTTGGCCTTGAAATATTTGGCCTTGGCCTTCAAAATAAAAAATATAAAATCAAAGAATTAAAAGTTTTCATTCTTTACTTTTATGTATTTTTGTTTTCGGCTTTCATATATATCCAGTGCTTAATTTAATTTTTTAAAAAGTCCCAGACAAAACGTCTGATCAAATTTTTAATTAGAATTTTTTCGGTTTTACAGAACTGAGTTATGCTATTGAAATCTTTGTCATGTTATTCAGTTTGTTAACGTTAGTCTGGTAAAATTGCAATTTCTTTCCTTTTTATTTCAGTATTTCATCGCAGATTTTTGTTTTTTAATAAAATAGTTTCAATTTAATATTGTTTGTTCTTTTAGACTTAAATATTGACACAGTAACTGACAACGCTTTATTTATTTTTTCTTTGCAGTTTTGATGACCGCTGTATTGATGTTTTAACAATTTAAATGCAATAAAAAAATTGTTACATTACGAATAACTTTTAACCAATAATCTTTTTTTTTTCACTTAAGTTTTTATTTTACGCAAAGGCGTAAATAAAATAAAATTGAAAAAAAAATTAAAAAAAAATTTTAATAAAATAAAATTTTAATAAATTTAAATAAAATCAAAAATTAACTATAGTGATCGTTTAAAATAAACACATTATGTGTAAATTTAAATGTTATACTTAATTTTTTTTTAGCAGTTATTTTTATCAAATTTAAAGGTTTGAAACTATTTTTCCATGTCTCTCTTAAAATCTTTTAAAAGAATAATTTTATAAGTTACTTTAAATTATGAATAAGTTAAAAGTTAAATTAAATCTTCCCATAATTTGATTGTTTTATTTTTTTGTTTGTTTCTATTTTCACAATGAATTGTTTGAGAGTTTTTTTTTAACTTTACTTACAAATGTTAGAGCATGAAATGATTAAAAATTATGATTTAAAAAAGGCTAGGTTTCTTTTTTTAAACATTTTTTTGTAACTTTTTAAAAAAAAAAAACATAAAAATATTATACTTTTTTTTTTTCAATAATTTAATTTCACTTTTCAATAACTTAAAAAAAATTTGTTCATTTATATATCGATAATCATCAACCAATAACAATAAATAACAATCGCGCTTTGCGTAACTTTAATTGAACGTTTTAAAAGATAAGTTTTAAAGTAATTTTTTTTTAAATGCAATTATAAAACGTAACAAAAAGTAATTTTAATTTTAAGTTTTTAGTTTTATTTTAAAGCTAACTTATTTTCTTTTTCGTAAGAAATTATTTTGCTTATTCTTTAATTTTTTCAATTTTTTTCCCAGTTTAAGTTTAGCTGTACGTTTTTTTTTTTCAGCGCATCAAAACATCTAAACAGTCGTGGTCAAGTTGTAAACAAAAAAATCACTTGCGTGGTCAGCAATAGCGCTCAATTGCTTCCCATTCTTGTCCAAACTTTATTTTGTAGAATTTAATTTCAGTTGGTCAAAATGTCAGCAACAAGTAAACGAACAATTTGATATGGTCAAAGCTGTTTCACTTTTATTAATTTCAAGTTACTCTCAATTGCTTAACACAATGTGGGATAGGAATAAAAGGATGGATAAGAATTTTTATTCAAATATAATAAATGGGGGGAGATAAAAAAAGAAGGAGGGGGGGAGGTAGTCTTAACAAACAGGGGGGTAAAAAAATTTTTCTTCATATAAGTAAGTATATATTTTTTAATTTTTAACACCTAAACAGATTGCAAAAATTAGAAAATAATAACTGATATTTAGCAAAATTTAACAAACAAGGGGAGGGGGACTTAATAAGCTCGGGTGGAAAATTTGGGTGGGGAAATTTTTTGAAATTATTAAACATCAACTGCTGTGTATTAAGCACTTATAGGTACCACCTTTTTTTTCCTTTCCATTTTCATAATTCCATTTTTTTAAATAACAAATTTAAATAAACTTAAGTTTGTTACTTAAAAAAACGGGTTTTTTTTCTGTTTAAGAAAAGACCACTCTCCAATTCTTTGTAATAACTTAAACTAAACTATTCAGGACAACATCTAAAACTGTTTATTTTCTAATATTTTAAGTTATTTTATTGAATTCCTTATCTCAAAATATGTAAGTGTACACATTTTCAGCTTTCCATTGCACACAGAACAGAAACAATGACCAAAACCATTTTTCAAAATTGCAGATTTTTGTTGGTTCAAGGCAAAGTTTGAAGAGTCATATGTTTGAAACCCTTTGGAATTAGATGCTCATAACTTGTTAAAATCTTTTAGTGGTGTAAAAATCAAAAAAATCTGAGACTTAGGGTTGTATGCCCTAGATGTTTTCACATGGAATCGCCCATAACCTTGTTTTATATACACATATATAAAAATGGGGCATTTGGTTAATGAAATAAAATAAAATCGTTTTATAAAATATGTAAATAACTATTTCTATGAACAAGACAATTTTTTTTTTAATTTGTTGAAAACATTTAATTTATCAATTTAGAATACATGTTTCAACCATAAAATAAAAAATTCTCATTCGACTATTAAGAAAATATCAATAAAATGTTTACCTCTCTGGGTGCTGCTTGTATCATTGATGTTTTTGGATCATAACCATGTGAACAAATTTGGGATTCAATTATTACCTAAATTTGTAAGAAAGTTATTAAATTATTTAAATAATTAAGAACAATAAATAAGGTATTTAAAATTTATTAATAAACCAATGCAGAGTCTTCTAAATCATGGTCAATATTTAATACTGTCAGTCATAAAACCAACTAACAAAAAAAAGGAAGGTTAAATTTTATAGAGAGCTGCTTATCAGGTATAGTCAGTATGTTAGACATGTTTATTAGGTATGGTTGGTGTGCATATCACACCATAACGAATAAATTTTATTCCTTATCATTGGCTTCAAGTCAAGCCTCATTTTACTCCATGGTTTTCACCTGCTATATCTAATTGCAATCGTGTTTTTTTAATCTTTTTCATAAGAACAACTCTCTTAGGACGCCTTTTATTGCAAGAAATTGATTTAAAAAGCTTATACAAAGCTCCATTAATCCAAATTTACTAAATCTCATATCTTATTTCAGAAGTTAGGCTCTAGAGACTTTAGCAACACTATTAACAAAGGTAAGTTAATCATTCCATCTCTCCCAAGGATAAAGCAAAACCTTTTGCAAAAAACTTTACCTCTAATTCAATTCTTGTATCTAATGGCCATACTCTTCCAGTTAAACAGATTAATCTATTATTAGGCATCCAAATCACTTAGTTTTCCATTGATAAAGTCATTTCTTGATTAAACTTTTGTATGGGTTGTGGTCCAGACAACATTCCTCTCATAGTCTTACAAAAGTGTTCTCTAGAACTCTTCATAATTCTCTCTAAAATTTTGAAAAGGTCTGGAGAACATTCTGACCCCTCTAACTATTGGCCAAACAGTCTTCACTCTATTAATAGCAAGAGCTTTGAATCTTTGATCAACAAAGTTCCAACATCCCATCTTGAGTCTAATAATTTACTGACTGACAATCATAATAATTTTTGATCTAGTTCTACAGCTGACTTGCTAACTGCTGTGACTGAAAGATTCTATTCAATAGAATAAAGTCAATAAAGTTTAACATGCTGGTCTTCTCCATAAGCATGCTTCATATGGTGTATCTAGTAAAATTTTTGAGATTATCAAATCATTTTTTTTAATTGCCATTTTAAAGGCTAACACTCTTCTCCATTTCTAATAACTTCATTTCTGGTAACTCAAGGTACTGTTTCTGGTCTGTATTTCTTATCTACATTAATTATCTTCATGACAATCTTTATTTTGACAATCTTTATTTTAAAGTGGCTATTTGCTGATGACTCATGGCTCTATTTGCTAACAACTTAACTTTATACTCCTGTTCTGACAAAATATTTTCCCTTTTTGATCACTTAAAAAAGCCAGCCGATCTTGAATTTGATCTGTCTTCTGTAACAGCTTAGTGCTTGCAAGCTTCTGCAAGCTTAGGGCTTGCTGTGGCTTGTGAACTTAACTTACAAAACAATTATTTACTGCAAACTAACAAATCTATTATTTGTCCCTGTATAGAATACTGTTGTCATATTTAAGCTGGTTCTTCTAATGACGCTCTTTCTCTTCTGGACAAGGTCCGGAATTGCATTATATATGTAGTTGGACCTGCTTCATCTGCCAAGGTTGAGCCTCTCTCCCATCGTCATAAAGTTGCATCTATTTCTCTTTTCTACAAATACTATAATGGTCACTGCTCAAACAAGCTATCATATTTAGTTCCATCAAACAAAACTCATTTTTGCTTGACTCGTCAATCAGTCAGATTGCATCCTTTTATTGTATCTGTCCCTGGATATTCTTAAAATTTTTATTTATCTAGTTTTTTTCCCTACACTCAGGTCCTTTGGAACTCTCTTCCTACTTTATGTTTTCCTGACTCATACAACTTTCAACTTTTTAAGTCTTCTATCAACTGTTTTCTTGCTAATAACCTCTATTTTTTGTTTTCCAACTTTATTACAACTCCCAACTTAACAGCGGTTGTTTGCAGCCGTGTTGGAAGTAGATAAGAAAAAGTAGGAAAAAAAACTATAATGAAAATGGTGTAAAATAAAACATTCCTAAACATCTTGCTTCAAAATATGATTATAATAACCTTATAAAGTTAATTATAAGATTGGTTTTGCTGACATTAAAATATGTATACACAACTACATATGTTGGCAAGGTTTTGCTGGCCTGTCTATGGATGAAATTGAATTTTTTGTACATATTGAAACAATTGATAAAAACCTTTTAGAAAAATTTAAATTAGACTTTGTAATACCATTGTAGTAGATTTGTTTCATTCCATATAACAAGAACACCATTAGTTAAGTACCCTTCTTAATAAAAATTTTAAATTAATGACCTTACTTATAACACAATACATTTATCTTAAGCCAAGTTGAGATTAAGTGATGCAATTGTGCATTTATGGTGATCCTATAATACTAAGATAAATGTTATTTCATAAAAATTTTCATTAAAAAAAAAAAATTTTGATTTTTTTTTAAATTTACTTTTAACACGACAGCAACCAATAAAATAATTTTAAAACCCTAAACTGAGTCAAGGAAACAAAAAGAACGAGAGAGAACTCTAAAGCGTTTAATTCTAAAACATTGATCCTGAAGATGAAAACAAGATAAATATGAAGGAACTTTTATAGTAAAAGGATTAAAAATTAAGAATGAAGATAAAAGATTTTATTCTGATAGATGGAACAAATGAAAATAATATCCAGTAGTATTTGTAATAGTATCCAAATGAAAATAGCTCCAGTAGTATTTGAAAAAAAGAAAAAAAAAGTAACCTTATAATTATGAAGACAAAAGCTCAAACTTTGCTGATAAAGCAAGTACAACTACATTTACAATACATTTTTGGATGTTTTTAAAAAAAGAAGAGTAAGCCTAAATATGACAATTACAGAATGAAATCTGAGGTAAAAAAAATAGTGGGAAAAATGTGAGAGGCAACCTTAGTAGATGCTAATTTTGTCACAAATTAGATTTCCATGAGAAGTCAAAAATAATCAAAGAAAACACCAAGTAAACAAACACAAAGGACACAAAGTAAACAAACACAAACTCATTATGAGTATTCATTACAATAGAAATATTAATAGTGACAATACTATTGTAAATATGATTAGGAGTAAACAGAAAGCCACAGAAAATAACTAATAAACAACTGAATTTTGTCTGGGTTAAAATTTATTAACCACTGCAAATCCAAAGATGTTACAGAAAAAAAATCTTATTCAAGATTTGCAGCCTGTTCCAAACAGCCTTATGAATTTTAAATAAATTTACTTATATACATAAAAAAAATATATGAAACCAAAAATGAGACCTTATGATAACCCAGATGTTGCTAGAAATGAAGAAATTTTGTTTTAGAAATGAAGAAATCAAGTCTTAGGCCTTGTTTTAAAGTGTTACACGTAAAGCGATTTACGTACGCATTAAGCCACTTTATGTACGCAGTAAGCAATTTTGGTTAAGCGACTTTTCATCATTTATTTATTTATTAATAAAGTTGTGACTGTATTAATACAGCAAGTGTGATTTACACACTGAAACAGCCATTCACAAAAATAAGTTGCTTAAATTATCATTCTTTTGTTCATACTTGTCGAGATTGTTTTTGAACTCATTTAAGTTATGAGAATCGACTACTTTATCTGGTAGTTCATTCCAGGCGGTTGCTGCTCGATTAAAGATATAGTCTGGAAGCAATTTTAGTGAGTTCGGCTCTGTATCTAAAGTTGTATCCACGTGTCTTAATCTGATTATTTTGTATGTTTATTTGCTCTAAGAAGTTATACCTATGTAAGGTTAGATTTATACTATCTGTTTTATTGGTTATCTTTATAAATTTGTATCAAACCACCTCTTAATCGTCAAGTTAAAAGTGTTGTTAGATTTAAACTCATGAGTCTTTCTTCATGTCATCTTTTTAAGAAGGGGAATTAGCTTAGTTGCTTGCCTCTGTACTTGTTCTAATACAGATATATCTCCTTTAAGGTAAGGAGACCATACAGCGATACTGTATTCAAGATGGACAAGTGTAGCGTAGAGAACTTTACACATCTTTTTATCAATGTAACTAAAAGTGTGTTTTAGCATACCAAGAGCTCAATTTGCTTTGGACACAGAGCTAATTGTGTGTTGTTTTCACTTAAGATTAGCAGAGAAATTGATACCTAGATCTTTCTCATACATAGACTTTTCTTAAGTTATTATATTGTCATTGTTTGAATCAGGTATGAAGTAATCGTGTTTTGGATTGTTTTTCCCTATATACATATCATGACACTTTTTCCTGTTAAACTTGATCAGTCATTTTTCTGACCATTCAAATGCCTTGATAAGGCATTTGAATGATCAGAAATCTTGAAGAGGTGGTATAGAATTGTTGTTGTATATTTGATTGATGACTTTAGTATCATCAGCAAACAATTTAGATAAGTTAGCTAAGTTTTTTGGTAAGTCATTGATATAGATGACAAAAAGAAGTGAACCTAACACAGACCCTTGTGGAATTTTTTGTGGGTTTTCTTTAAAATTGTTGGTTATCTTTTAAATTATTCTATAAGCGGTAAGATAAAAGAAGTAATTAATTTTTAAAAAAACGACAGCACCTTTTGAATGACGTTTATGTAAAAACATTTGTTACAAAAGTTTGAATGACAATTATGCTAGATATAAGTGCTTATGAAAAAAACTCCAATAAAATTAAAAATTTATTTTTATTTTGCTTTTGTTTTATTGCAATGATTGATTTTTTTTGCTTGAAAAACGCTAATACTTCTAGCTTGAAGCAAAGATCATAATAAAACAATTTAATTCTAATAAAAAATATGATTTAATTTAAAACTAATTTAATAAAAATATATAATTTTATTGATAAAATTAAAAATAAATTAATACAATGATAAAAAAATATAGAGTAAAACAGGGTAAAATGAAATAGCGGGTAGAATGAAATAGTTATGACAATGTTTATTCTTTCGCTCTTAATTAATTATTGAATAATCTTTTTGCAAATATTTTTCAATAATGTTGTAGAGAATAC